GCCCTTCCCGGTGGTAAACCCAACACCTCGCTCAGTGCCGCTTGGCCACCCAACTCGCCTTGAGGTCCTACTATTGCGCTAAGGCCTGATAATGTTTGTGAGTTTTCTGTCTCCTTTTCTCAAACTTGCTTGGTTCTAACGAGGTATCGTCAACTTTGAAGGGGAAACAAGGTCCTGGAAAGCCCAACACACCCACACCCGCTTTCCAAGTCTCACCGTCACGCCTAACGACTCCGGATGGTCCTCCCAACCCTCAACTACTTCCGCTTCAACCGACGGCAAGGCCAACCCAATCGAACGGCGACGTCATAATCTTCCTCTCCGCAAGCCAAGAAAAGCACCTGTACGGTCTACTCTATCGAGAACGAGGACGATCTTACGGAGTTGGAGGTGCAGTTGGCGTACGTCGTGCGGTGGGAGAAGACTGTCATCGCTGTTTCATTGTGGGGCTGGTATGCGGGTTCCAGTGGCGGAGGCCAAGGACGAGGAGGACAGGGGCAAGAAGAGCAAGCCAACTATGGACGGACGAATCACCCCGACCCTACAGGCGGCCAACTGACGTGTCCCTGCCATGGGAACTTGAAGCTGTGTAAGAAGGGTATATGTTCTGGGATGTCGAGACTTGTGAAAGAGGAAGAGAGGAAGAAGAGGGAGGTTTAAAGAGGGAGGTGCTGGTAGGAAAGGTGGGTTTTGTTCGACTTTTGGCATTTTGGTTCAATGCTCATGTTTGGCTTCTCGCCTCTTCAGCTCTTCGTGGTTCCGTTAAAACTCGTTATATACTGCCTACATGCTATTTCGGCCCAATTAGCTGTAAGAACCGAAGTGTGAGATGGGGGAGACTTATGTCGCTACACGCTTTCGCCCCATCCAATACCAAGGCGGAGATTCCGAGCCAAACTGCCATTCGTAAAAATCTTCTGGTCTGCCGCTTTGATGTAATGCAGGAATGTGCACATCGTGGTGGGCAACGTTGGAGCGAGTCCTAATTGATCGATTCACGGTGACGCTGCTTGACGGAAAATTGCATCAGGTTGCGATGATAAGGCATTTCATGGAACCGCGTGCGCGTTCCTCTCGATGCCTCAAAGGTCGAGCTAACATCATCTGTACGGATAACGGCAGTCTCAAGGATGCAACCAAACATTATTTATTCCAATTAGATCTCGAAGTAACGTCTGTAAATGCTAAGAACTACGAATTTAATCCACTGCCGTTCACATGAAATCAGAATAACCACAATGTCGCTGATGCTCAAGGGGAAGGCTCCTCACCACAACGTCCTTCCAACGACCATGGCCCAGCGACGGGGCAACCCTGAAGCTCAGCAGCCTTCTGCATAACTTCCTCATGCGCAGCTGCCGGAATCATGAATCCAGTAAGCTTCCTGCAGTGAGCAGAGGAGGGAAGAGGGGACGCACAATTTTCAAATTTGAAAGGGCCCTACCCAGATAAGAGAGTGTTGAGCAAGGAAGCCACAATTTCGAAATGAACGTACCATTTCCTCCAAACGATAGCCTGAGCTCTTCAAGCTACACAATACCATTAGCCACACCCATTTAACAAACGAAACAAAGACCTACTGAGGTCCTGGCATCTCGCTATACCACCCAATGGCCACCAGAAACTTATTTTGAAGGTAGCCCAAACCGGTGCTCTCGGGTCTGTACCACGGACGATATTGCCATCTATCGGGATAGTCAGCAGCCACCTTTACAACAACAAGAAATCGACCTCACTTGTTTGGATGCAGCTTTGGACACCTCTCCCCGGTTGCCTTGGGTAGATCAATCTTAACTGGAAAAGAGGGGTATATCCTGGGAAGGAGGAACCAGCGTTGTGCAGTCCAGTTCATCGCCATGACGCCATGCGTTAATGCGTGGAAGAACCATGGCTGAGCAGGTTGCCTGTGGCGGTGAGGAGAGTATTGAACAGGCGGACGTCAGGCAGTCTAAGGGGATACGTACATCATCCCAACCCTCACCCTATCTTCAAGCAAACAAAGCGCCACCCTTGTGACAGCGAAACTCCGGAGGCCGAAACGTGTCGGAACAGCGGAGAGAAGCTCCGCCATGGTATACTCTGCGACCTCTTTATTAGTCTCAGCTGGAATCATATTCTTCACCTCGTAGTCCTGCAGAGGAGAATGAGATACACAATAGGATATCAAGGCTAAAAGACGACACACCCGACTCCATTCTATCATTTCTTCGCGAGACTGGGGGATATCTCGCATATTCATCCGTCTCCCTATTTCAGCCCAGAAGACGTAAAACGCCTCACACTCCATTGGGGAGAGCTTCCGCCATCCATAACGCTCTGCCCATCGCTAGATAAGCAGACAGATGATGAATCAGATGCGGCCATTACGCCACCCTTGCCAAACAATCTCTCACCGGAGGTTCTAAAGCGAACAAGCACAACGTATTCAAAAAATCGTCGTTTGACTGGGTGACTTTCCGTAACTCAAATCTATAAAAATGAATAAATTTGACCCTTATCGGAGTTTGAAAAGAGAACTTCACAGGAGAGTTTATTGGAGTGAATAAACCGTAACGCCAACTGATTAGATTCTATTTGATGTATTTGCTTGCCTTGTACAAACTCACTTCCCTCCCATCTGAGCTGCTCTGAGGTTGTGTAA